GTGGGTTCATAGGATGAATTGTCGCTTGAAAAGGAAGTGCTGAGCCAATATCTCTTGCTGTCAATGGTATGTATAGGCCTCCCCTTATTGTGTGGTAGCGTATGGCACGGACCTTGAAGCTGTTGCGAATCTGCCGAAATAGTGATAGGCTAGATTTTCGTGAAATTTTGAAACCGTCCTTGTGCCATCATTTGGGCTATTGTTACAAGTAGAGAGAATTTAAAATTTTCCAATGCACATTTCATAAGCAGCTCAATATTTAGGAAAACGTTTTGATTGCCAAGCTAACTGTTCTCTGCCACCTAAAAGATTTGAATTATGTATGTCCTGTAAAGTTTTTACTATACAATTACCTCAGAAAAAAGTTCCTAAGACATGAATCACATAAATGAGATTTTAAGAAGTTATGAATTTTAGTCTTCTAATATTGGTATATTTCATAAAGCGCGAAATTTTATTTTTTTCATTCGTCGATCAAAAAATGAGTCTATATGGAATGTCTTTTCACTAAAATTAGCCGAATGTTGTTTAAAATTTACTCATCTATGTAAAGGGGACTTGAGTTCATAATTTTACTGAGCAAAATTCATACCAGTAGTAGTTTATGAGAGATTATTATTTTTTTATCATTGCAAAAGAATACCAAAGAATTTCTAAAGTATATAGAATCCACTGTGATATTAACTGTACTTTGATTGAGGTATTAATATCAATTTCACATCATGTGTGACTTAATTTTCCCAGTATGCAGGAAAGACACACACATGGACAGATTCAGCTCACTCCTCCATGGCACCTGATTCCACCTCTGATGTTTTGGAGGTTCTTGTTTGCTTTGCTCCAACATTTGTATTGTTTAATGGACTATTAAGCTTGAATACTGTTCGCTATTTCCATACATTTCACTTGAAAAAGTGTAATCTCTTTTTTTAAGAATATGAGTACCCCCCCCCCCCTTCCACCAAACACACACAAATCATCTAAGCATGTCATGACTGCTTATATTAACAAGAGGCCCAAGGACTGCAACGCTCACTTGAGTTACCTTAGCCTTTCTGATTTTTCAAGAGAAAATGTGACTCGCTATTATGACACCCTCGCTACCTCATACATATAGGTTTTTGAATCCAAATACCATGGGTATGATTCAATTAAATAATAATATCACTAACATGGTTTTGAAGTTATGGGGAAGTGAATTCTTTTCCTCTACATGCATTATGTAAAATTTTATCCTTATTTTTATCCAACCTAGGGTTCATAATTTGAAGAAAAGAAAAGATTAAGTCCACAAGATTTGGGAACGTTTGTAAATTAATCGTTGTTTTTCTGCTGAATATTTCATAAAAACTTTTCTAATACAGTTCCACGCAAAACTTTAATTTGATCCCATGTTGTGCCCCCACTCTAACCCCGGTGGCCATGGAATCTACACTACCTCAAAAATCTTTCAGATAAGTTTCATCATTTTTGGTCCAGTAGTTCTTGAGAAGAATTTAAAAAAAATATATATATTCAAAAAATAAAATATTGAACCGTTATTGTGGCCCCACCCTACCCCCGGCATCCAAGATCTGAAGAATTTGAAATCTACATTCTGTCTGAAAGTTTTCCCATAAGTTTTATCAAGTTGATATTAAACAGATGGTTGAGTTCCTGATTGACAATATCTAGGTAGTTTTTGGAGATCAAGTCTTCCAATAATTCGTCGAAATTCCCATGGGTACTAGTATATATTGCGCCCCGTTATTAGCAGACCTATTTTTGAATACTTCAACTTTTCTATCAACAACTTCCCTCATTTAATTAGCAATATACATGTACTATTATCACCAGATACCTGCATATGGGGATTGTGTCTCCCAGTTGATTGGATACAGAAGAGAATGTTCTACATACGAACAATTTCTAAAACAATGCAAGCTATTGACAAATAAGATGAAACAAGAATAACTATAGCCTCGTTAAAAGTCAACATTTCTTTGGTCGATATAATAACCTTGTCACCAAATACACCCTATCTTTTAGTGGAATGTTGACTGATGTTTTTCATACGATTGTTATGCCATTATTTTCACGCTGAATTGTCTACGGATTTTTTCCGTTTGCCCGATCATGACAAGGAGCACACGGCGGTTTGACCGGTCGACAGGGAATGCTTATTTCTCCATGACACCTGATCCCACCTCGGATGTTTTTGTAGGTTTTGTATGCTCTGCTCCAATTTTGTATTGTTTCAATGGACTTGTGATCTTCATTTCTGTTCGTTATCCTTATATTCCTTTTCTTTTCTAATCCAGTGGTTTTTTTAGAAGATTTTTAAAGATTTTCTTTCCTATATATTTCAAAGTAAAACTTTTATCTTGTATGAATTGTATCTCCACGCAACCCCTAGGGGCAATTTTGAAATTTAAAATCTACATTATGTCTGTAAACTTGCTTTCATATGTTTTACCTTTTCTTGCCCTGTAGTTATGAAGCAGAAGACTTTTTAATGGCCCGCCTTATTTTCCTTTTCTTGATTATCTCCTCTTGAAAAGGGGGTTGATCCTTTGAACAATTAAGATTTCCCTTTACCATGGATGCTTTGAGCTGGTTTTGGTTAAGATTGTTTCTTGAAAGTGATTCTTGAGAGGAAATCGAATGTTAAAGTTTACAGACGGACGGACAGCTTAACAGCTAGACTAGACGGACGGGCGAATGCCAAACGGGTGAAAGACTCATCTTAGCTTTCAGCTCAGGTGAGCTAATAACATACTAAGAACAACTACTCCATTCTATCCCCCATCTTATACTCATGCACACATAATTATAAATAAAATGTAATGTTACATTCTGTTTTTTTTCTTTAAAGAAAATGTTTTCTACAAAAAGGTGACTCTATTTTCCTTATTGTCGGATTTTGTTTTCTTGGATATCCTGCCGTACCCAGGAAAATGCAAGGCTCATTATTTTAATTGTATTAAAGAAGAACTGGGAATTAATTAATTCTACAAGTGGCAATCCAACTTATACCCAGAGCTCCTTTTCTTAGGAGGAAATTCTTCAAAATCATATGTCAGTTTTAAATATTTTAAATATTCCCAACAACCAAAATTAATTTGAATTACAATATTTATATTGGATTTTAAAACTTCATAAAAATCCTTATAAACAAAGATACATAGCGGACTCCAGTAAATGTTCTAGCAAGCCTCCTTCTTTACTCTTCAATAAAATATTAACAGCAGTGAAGGAGAAACTTCAGGAGTACTGTGCAACAATATATTCGAGAAATGGTGTAAATCAGATGTGGATACTTAAAAATTCCAAGGAACATTTGGAAAATTTTATATCACAAAATTTTACCAAAATCAATAACATCAAAACTTACGACCTTTCAACTTTGTCTACAGCCATTCCCCACGATAAATTAAAGTACAGGCTTTTTGACATCAACGATAGCTAGGGCTGTGACAATATATCGAATATTCAATACGTATCGATTTTCAGGAATGTATCGTATCGAAAAAAATAACTTCCAATACGTATCGGACAGGCAGTTTTCCTTATAATTCTGTAAAAAGGTTGTGAATTTCAGTTACCTAAGATTATTTTTAACTGTTTTGAATTAAAAATGATCAATATTGAAATTAACATTAAGGAGATAGCACATCTTAAATAACTATTACAAAATACATAGACAACTATATTTTAACATGTTATGTTAGACTCACCCAGTTTTTATCAAATTTATGCATTAAATGTCATTTACAAGACATTTGTGAAAGACTTAATAAATAATCCAATATATCGCATATCGCTTTAAAAAATATCGTATCGTATCGAAATATTTTGCTCAATACACGGCCCTAACGATAGCTGCTTTTTCAATAAAAATGAAACTCGTAAATTTACTTACCTTATCATTTGCAACATTATTTTGTTAAAAGACATTCTGAATGTACACACAAGTACTCTGAAGTTGATATTAAAAAGATGCTTGAGTTTCTGACTTACAATATCTATGTAGTTTTTGGAGATCAAGTCTTCCAACAATCTGTTGGAATTACCATGGATACCAATTGCACCCAATTGTTAGCAGACCTATTGTTGTATTTATATGAAGCAGAATTTATTCAAAATCTTATACATGAGAAAAAAAATCTCTTTTTGTGGCTTTCAACTCGACATTTAAATATATCAAGGACGTATTATCAATTAAAATTGTTATTTCCATTCATATGTCGACATGATATATCCCAGTGAGCTTGATACCACAGAGTCTGGCATATCTGTTTCATATTTGGATATTTTACTAGAAAAAGAAATCGATGGTAATCTACCAACAAAGCTTTATGATAAACGTGATGATTTTAACTCTTTAATCGTCAGCTTCCCTTACTTATGCAGCAATATACCCTTATCACCTGCATATTGGGTGTATATCGATACGCAAAAGCATGCTCTACGTATTAACAATTTCTTAAACGAGGTAAGTTTCTGACAAACACGTTGATGAAACAAGACTATCAACAGTCTACTTTAAAGTCATCATTTCGTAAGTTCTTTGGTTGATACAATGACGTTATCAGCAAATACAATCTTTTATTGTAAGTTATAAGCTGACTGACGTTTTTCATACTAATTGTTAGGCCATTATTTACACACTGAATTGCCGACGGATTTTTTCATTTCCCCGATCATGACAAGGGACACACGGCGGGTGTGCCCGGTCGGCAGGGGATGTCCGTGTTTGCTCTGCTCCCGATTTGTATTATTTTTATGGACTTTGATCTTGAATACTGTTCGTTACCTCCATATTTCACTCTATCAATAATTCAATGATTTTGCACAACTCTTGAAAGTCAGCCTTTACATTTTTCTTCAATTTGTATTTGTTTTAAAATGAATAAGTCTTCCTAAATGAAATGATGCTTGAAAATCCACTGAATTATTGCAATAGTTTTATCTTGTAAAACAATTTGTAAAATTATGACATACATAGTTTGTATGGGGGAACACATGTTTTAAAAATATATAGAATGGAAGAAACTAGAAGACAGAAAGTTAAGAGATATGAACTTATGGTAAAAAGATAGTACTCATATTCTTTGGGACACTGAATCACCTTATACACCACCTTTGAGATGAAATAAGGGGTAAAAATTCCTCACAGTTATCTAACATGTTTACTAGTACCATTTCAGTGGGAATACTGCACGGTACAGGCCCGTAGCTATATAGGACACAGTTTTAGTTGGAGACACAACTAAACATCTTCAGTTTGGGGGAGGGGCACGACCAAGCATAAAGTAGTCATGCTAATCTATCCCTTGAGTTATCCCCTTTCCAGTTCCAACGGCCATGAGGAATATAACAGATGTTATCAAACATCAATTATAATGATAGAGTTCTTCTATTTCTTCTTGTTTGTACAATGGAATTGTCAATGATTCTAAGTAAAGTAACCGTCTTCACTCAGTTGAAGATGAATTATTGGAATCCTGAACAAGGTTATCTGAAAAAAGGAAACCTTTTTTTAAATCAGAATAATAATTTTGTATTATAATGAATGTTCCAAACTAATGTACCATGCAGAAAATCTCCAGCATAAAAAAAGCATTCTGCATATTATATTATAGCTTATCATACGATATTTAAAAAAAATAACATAAGAAATAACAGAAAAAAAAGCTTTTATCTTCAAATATGCATTTATTTCATATGAATTATGACGAATGTTATTTATTTCAGTATGGACTGCGAACGCTAACTGGCATTTCCTGCCTACATTTTACACACATATAATTCAACATGTTTGTTAAATTTTCTATGAAAAATGTCTTTTAATGCAAGGAAGACTTTATTAGTAATTGATGAACTACTCTAATACCAGCGGTAATATATCAAGCCAATAGTTCAAGTATTCTTAGTTACAACTGTTTCTGATAAGTGAGTTGTACTTTTTCAAATTGAAATCAGACTTTAAAATGTCACTAGAATTCAAAATACTCAAGGATTAAATGAACACGAACATAACTACATGTGATTCAATTAGTAGCCTTTGAAGTTGTATATCACATGAAATTGGTGGTAAAATGAATATTTTCAGTGCATTTTGGTCTGTAAACATATCCCCATCCCATCCTTATAAAACAACAAAAAACGTTGACGTGAATTTTCTAAATAGTAATGTCAGTTAAAAATTTAAAAAAAAATTCATGTTTTACGGGATTTTTAGATATTTTCTGCTTTCCTTTGATTTCTGCTCTGAAATTCTGAAATCTTACCGAAAAAATAGTAACTGGTCTGGAAGTAAGCGGTAAAGAAATACTTAAGTTCGCAGACCTAACATTCTTCCCTATTCATGTAAAACTTTGTGAACAGTTACGTAAGTAAATACTTTTCTATTTAAACTGAACTAAAACCGCTTGTCTTAGAATGCTAAATCTAATGCGTTTGGTGTGCTTTAAATGTGTATATTTAAAAAAAAACAATGTTCATGAAAACATGGAATTTGTAATAAATCATCGTTATAAAGCTCATCTTACACATCCAGGAAATTATAAAAGCTTACCGTCTGCTTCTTCAATTTTGTGTTTTAGATCTTTCAAGGCTTCATGGAAAACTTTGTATCTTTCATATTTAGCTTTGTATTCAAACCTCTTCTCATCCATATGCAGTCTTTCAAAAGTATAATACAAACTTTTGATATCATTTCCTATTGTCATATTAAGCATTGTATCGATAACATCTCTGTAATGGTTTCCATAGATCACATTCAAGTCGTTTTTTGTTGTTTCTTCATCATAAATTTTAGTGCACTCTTCATAAGACTTTTCTATAATTACCATTTTTTTCTCATCTGACTTCAAGGCTCGAAAATCTGCCGAGAAGAGTGAAGGTAGTACTATTCCAGCAATAGCAGACAGTATCCCCGCTATGCCATCCACTTTGAACCATACAGTTGTCTGAACCAAGTCTGGGAATAATGAGGAATTCTCTTCCTCCATCAGATCGTTTTCGACCTGTTTGATCTTTCCCCTTAGAGAAGTAAATGCTTCTTTAATTTCTCGCTCTAAATCTCCAAAAGCAGATATAACTTTGGGACCTTGGCGCCAGTTCCCAAGAAACGCACAGTATCTGTCTTTCACTTTTCTTTGTAGTACAAAAACACTTATTTCTTTGATGTCTTTTTTGTGTGGAGGGTTTAAAATTTCTTCTCTGCCTTCTTTAGACCGAACATACTCCATAAGGTCAGCACAAAGTTTCGAAATTGTTGAATTTATTTTGACATGTAGTTCCTTTTCCAACTTAAAAAAATATTAAATACACTGATACATGTACATGTTAATGAGTTATGGCTTTTTTGGGCAAATGATTATTTTCTGTCAAAGTCTAATTTTATTTTTTTTATTATTTTAAAAATGCTACCTGCTTCTTTTTATTTACAAGATCCACCACAGTGCTGTAGAGTTTGTCAACCTTTGTTTTAAATTCATCCTCTGAAGATTCGGAGGCTTGTAGCCTTCCACATATTCCTCTTTCTATTACTCGTAGAATTCTTGTCAAAAACCTTGGTATAGTAAAAATTAAAATAATGCCCATATGAATACAGTGAATAAATGGAATAAACAAAATTTTCTTTCAAATTTATATTGGAAAAATGTAGGATTGCCTGGTGATTTACAACATAAATTGATATTTATTTTACCTTATATGTTTCTGTTTCCTACAGATATAATTTCGGTCTATTATTTCTTGTAACTTGTCTTTAAATCTTCCATACTCCGATTTATACTTGGATTCCCCAGTTTCTTTCATCTAGAAGAATACAAAACAATAAATGTCACTTGGCACAATTCTTCATTTGACATTATTATAAGGAATAATTCTGCAAGTCGCATCTTCTAACGGGGATGTGTATTGCCAAAGACCTTTATTTCATTAAGCAACAATCTAATGATAAAAAGGTTACAGTATCGTTATTAAACTGTAAAATCACAGATTTTCGTGGGGTCAAATTTTCGTGGTTTGAAGAAAAAGTTTGGGTTCGTGGGGATTTGATTTCGTGGATGAAGAATTGTTGAGTAGCTATCAATATGACACTATGCATTTTGTAGTGGACAGTAATTCGTTGATCTTTTTATACCTCGAAAACAACGAAAATTAAACCCGAACAAAAATGAATGATTTAACAGTATCAGTGAAAATGTTGGTATTCCAATGCTTTTAACGGACAGTTACTTATTAAAAATTGAAGAAAAATGATAACTTTTTTTAGGGAAATTTGAAATATCTGGTCATCTTTCACAGATCCCCAATGTCTTTTAATCGATTCCTTCACTTTATTCCACGTCATTGTGACGTCATCTTCGTCACTATCATCATCACAGCACTGTTCTACAGCGTCCCATTTATTCGTACAAAAGATGACATCACTCGGATCAAAACAAGGCATTTTGTTGTCATTGTGATAAAGAGTTAAGTCCTTCAATATCCGTGGAAGCTATTGAAAACAGACAATGAAAAGGAAATGATTTTCTTTTTTTTTCATGGTATTATATATAGGGATTCGATAATCAGATTTCAAAATTTATTGTTAGCACAAAAGTACCTTATCATCTTGCAAACCACCAGCATTTGATGCATTTACAAGGAACACAAAAGCAACTGCGTTTTGCAAGTACCTCAACATTAATTCTTCTAGGCGCCTCGTTCCTCCAACTCCAGGAGTGTCAACCAAAATTGTTTTCCCCTTTGAATAGTCAAACATAATTATGTTTTTTTTATTAGAAAAGTACATGTACAACTTTTAAAGGGTTCTCAGACTGTTACAAACATAATACTAGTATATGAAACATATTTCAAATATATGAAATAATCTTATTCATAATATCAATACATGTATTTCGTTTCATTTTCATTTTGTGGAATATAGGACAATTTAAAATAAAAAATCTGTTTTGATGCATATCTATATGATCGTTCCTTGGACTTGATAGTATATTGTTGCCAGTACATCCAAAACACAAAGCCACATTTTGTGTAAACTTGCTCAAATTAAATATATATATGAGAAATAAGGAAAAATCATATATCACCACTCATATTCTCACATTTAACTGGGGAACGTGTACTCATTTTTCAAACCTTTAATATTGGAACAGGATACAATATATCGACGAAAGAACAGTTGTCGGACATGCTCTCTACGTCTGTATATCTCTTGACATCTTGTCGAAGTTTTGATAGTTGTTCTCTGGTGTAGTCCATTTTGGAGTAGATGCAATCATTGTTGTCATTGTAAACCTTAAGTCCGATATTTGCTGAATTCCAGATCCGACAAATGGTTGAAGTATTTTCGGTTGTTCTGGTTTTTAGGATGGTTTCTCCAATCAGTGAGTTAATCAGAGTTGATTTCCCAGAGCTTGTTTCACCTGCAGGTCGGTAATAATTAGAAAATCAAAAATTTCAATATATATATATATATATATATATATATATATATATATATATATATATATATATATATATATATATATAGACTTCGGTTAATTTATGTACGAATAGCTTATCTTTTATAGTTAATCTTCTACAGTTATCAAATGTTTGTTTATACGTTACAATTTACAAAGGATGAGTACTCATTACTAATCGCTAAATACCACTTTTCAGCATTATTTGCTACGCATTACACGTGATAAGATATGAGAAAGGTATATATCATTGAAAAATCAAAATTCTAGGCATGCGTCTGATAAAGCTCAATACTTCTTAAGAATCGGCCAAATTCGCCTATGTTCTTTAGTGCAGCATTCATATTTACAGTACACATGTATCCCCTTATACAAAGGGTCACTTGTGAAAAGTAAATATAATCAATCCTTAACTAAACAATATATTCTATAAAGAAAAGTGTATATCTGAAAACCATTCATCATATGCACAGCTTTATTTATGGGCATGATCATCTGATAAGGTTTTGTTCTGTTTGACACATATGAAAAACACAAGGCGGGAATCGAATGGCCATTTGTTACATCAAAAGTTTAAATCTGAAGTTTAAACTTATCTACAAATATCATTATAGATACGTTTAAACTTTTGATGTATCATATTTATAGGTTGACAAGTAATATAATATTCGAAGCCGAACACAAACACATTATTGATCAAGAATTGTGTCAGAAATCTTCATAAAATCTTATGCTTTTAGTATTACACAATGAGAATTCGTATGGTGCAGACAGTTTACAGTAACCAGAATGCGTATTGCTCCTATGTGTATGTAAATTCGGATTGCCCAGAGCAACATGTATATTACTGAATAGGAGTTAAAACACAAACCTGCCACGACAATTCCATTATCTTCTCTGTCTAGATCGCAAATCCTTTCTTCAAGCATTTGAAGATAACTGGGGAAAATACACTTTAATTCTGACCTCATATCTTCATCAAATTCCTCTCTTTGGAGTAGATTTTGTATTGACTCAAAAATTCCACGAAGTTTGGGAACACCAATATCTCTAAATTAGATTTGCTTTTAGTGAAGATATGAATGTTTTGCATAAATACATCGCTTACTTTCTCACAAGTGTGAATAAGAAGGTTAGTTTGATAGGATGACATAATGATAGCCATATAAGCATGGGTGCAATGTGCATGATTCTGAAAAATATTTGACATATCAAAGTTTCTTGAGTCAACTTACGAGGGCACTTTGGCACCTTCGACAGCTACCTGTCCTTGGAATGAGTGTCCTGACTTCCGTTTATCTGGATGCATCATTCTGTTGAGGAGAATCTTAGAATAATTAGTTTTCTGATAATAGCGATTATTGATTATCATTTATTCTATATATACATCATTGCTGCTGGTGATGAAAACACAATTTTTGGAAATAAAATCATGAAAGGCAAATTTCATTAAAAATAATCAAACGAACAATTTCACAGGGGTCATAGCACTTCGAGTTTTTTCTTCATACACCTGTGTCAGTCTTTTCACTTTTCCCTCCTCAGATTTGCTACTGCGCCTTTCAAAAATAAATGAAAATTAAAATTCGTGTGACTCAATCTTAAATCATATTCTATGAATAATTTGCAATTGGTATAAAATGCATTTAACTTATTGCATATAACTTATTAAGAAGATATACCAGAGTTGCGTGGGTCCCTTCTCTTGAGAGGTCGAAGATTCTTTGCTACCGCGCCTTTCAAAAATAAAATGAAAATTACGAATAAGTACAAGGCTTATACATGTGTCATCTTTTTTTCTTTGGCATGTTAGTATGCGATGCATGAAACTTAGAAGACATACCAGAGTTGCACGGGTCGCTTTTCATGAGACGCAGAAGATATTTCCCGGGCAGACATAGTTTTACCTAGGATAGATGAAAGGATTACAGTATATTTTTGAAATCTCTAGAACCGTCGATTTTACAAGTGCTTGTTGCCAGGAAACCCACCTCCTCCCTCTCTTATCTTCTATCACACACTTACATTGTGTTCAATTGTTAAATGTAAAAAAAAAAAAAAAGTGACGTCAATTAAACGTTTTTATAAAATAAGTTCCAGAATTTTTTTTTCAATTGTTTTGTTCCATAAATTACCATTTACAATGTGTTCAATATGAAAAACAAAATTTAAAAAAAAATTAATTTAATGTATTTTCTTGACTGTAATGTCTAAGAAAACTATTAATACTTTAAAAGTCATTCCTTATCTTAAAAAAGGACATGTGCCACATCGCATGTTTTTACACTTCGTCGCGGACTTCGTAGATTTCCTGATTTCAGAGGTAAAATTCGGACATGACATGTTAGTCCGGGTTGGGCCACAATGGGGGATCGAAAGTTTTACGTAGGAACATATAGGAAAAAAAATTCTTATCAAGAACAGAAAAGCTATGTTTAGTCATATTGATATGGAAGCATCCTCAGGTAGTGTAGATTCAAGTTTGTTCAAATGATGACTCTTGGTATAGGGAGGTGCCACAATGGGGGATCAAACTTTTACGAAGGAATATATAAGCAGAATTTTTAAAAATCTTCTCAAGTACAACAAAGCCATTTGTTATATTGACATGTTGACATGAAAGCATCATCAGGTAGTTTAAAATTCAAGCCCCCCCCCCCCAGTAATCTTTTCAATACTGAACTGAATTGTGCTTTTGTCCAGCCAATGTGCTCAGGTGAGCAATGTGGCCCATGGGCCTCTTGTTTTCTTATATAATGGAAGTACAATGTAACATCTCTCTGTTGAGAGAGAGAGAGAGAGAGAGAGAGAATGTCAAAAAGTTAACGGTAATATTTTAAATTAAATTGTTTTCCTTGATATTGTGATATAAAACTAATAAGGCATATATTTAATATTTAATTTATTTAGTGGCGATGTCTTAAAAAAGTACTATCATTTTAACTAATTTCATTTTTTTATGCGCACTTCGTTTCATTATTGTTCTGTTAATTAGTGGTTCAATCTTGACTTGAAACAACTAAACTGAAATGACTCTGATGGAATTTCTTGGATATTGCATCAACAGCGTGATTATTGGACACATTTTTATGTATTGAAAAATATTAACGCAAGCTGTCTACAGTGCATCTTTCAAAATGATGTGCGAGGTGCACTTGCCATTAATTGTGATTTTTATCGTTTTAATTTTTTTCGTGCAATATGGCGACAGTGACCATAGACGTGAAAAAAAGTTTGCTTACAGGTCGCCAGTCTATGTTAGGAAAAAACTATGCATGAAATAAACGTAAAATGTGAAATGTTTTGTTATAACAAGCAGGACATGTATATATACCCGTCGTATTA